ACATATGTTTTCCTCAGTGTACAAGTGCTTTATTTACACAGCACATATATAATAATTTTCTTTCTATTAAAAAAAAACCACTAAGGAAACTCACAGAGTACTTAATTTAACATTAGTTAACATTGCTCTCATCAGTAACATAAACCATAACATACAAAGTTAAAGATTAAAAGATTGCAAAGTAAAGCATGCTCAAAGTATGGAAATGCCAGAGTGAACATTGCCTGTGCAACCTTAAATCAATCCCCTTGTGCATAAGAACTACAATACAGTCTTTAATGTTCCCAATTTTTTATTTTCTTTTTTGTACACAGGAAGTTTACCTCATCCAGTGCACAAGACCAGTCTGTTCTGGGGATGAATCAGTGTTGTGTAGTGAATGGGCCTGTTGTCTATAGGAACCCTGCCTCATTTTGTTGCAGAAGTTGTACGACTAGTATAGCAAATGAGGCAGGGGATGCAGGAAGGGAAAGGAGAGTCTCATAGTTAAGTCACCTGAAAGTTGCCTTGGAGACTTGGCTTCTAATCCTGTACCTCCCAAAGAGTTCCTATGAGATGCTGAGTAATTCATTTATACCAATTTTTTCACAGGTAATCAATGCTACGTATAGTGAAAGGCTACATTTTGGTTGCATGATCAAAGTTCCTTCTGGCATTTCTTCAGTTAAGAGTGCTTGACTTTGCAACTTTTTAATCCTTTCTAATCCTTAACTTTGTATTTCCTATTTTTTATGCTTTAGTTTATTGATAAGAGCAACTTTTAATCTTAAATGAAGATTATTTTGTTTGTGAATAACAAATCTAATTCAAGTCTAATTTTATTACATTTAGGCCACATTCTCAGATAGCATAAATCAGCATATCTTCACTTACTCTATTTTGCTAAACCAATTAACACCAACTGGTCATCTGGTCCATAATTCTTTTTCCAAATGTTTCATTTTAAAAAAACAAGCACATGTTGACATATGGTGTTATCCTTAGTAAACAAGTTTCATGTGGTTTTATACTCAGGTGATAGTGGGCAAGTCATTTTGTTTAACTAAAACATTCTGCATGGCATGAAGAAAAACTTGTGGTTTTTTTTAAGTTATAGATGGCGCTGGCAATCTGTCTGGTTATGTATCTTTGCACAGCCACTTATTGTATCATTTTGTCTGTCTTTGTATAACTCAGAAATCAATATATAGGATTAAAATTATAAATAAATGTTATTGTGTATAATGTGAAAATTGAACACAGAATACCATGATGTTTCAAACTGTGTCTTCATTTTATTCTTGTCATAGGGTGACACAATGAGCATTGTGAATTTGAGCTAGTAATTTATATACTTAATTATTCAAAAAATTGCCACGGTATTATAGAATATGAAATATGTACAAGGCTTACAGTTATAGCTGCTATTACAGGATAGCCTGTCTCTTGAAGACACTGTTTTATTTATTTATTTTACATGAGATTTAGTTCTTGTTTTCTGTGGAATTAATGTGACCAAATGTGATATGAAAAAAAGGTAAGATCTTGTACATTTTCCTTTCATTTTCTTCCTTTTGTTTTAATTGCCACAGCACTCTCTTTTTCTGTCCTTCGAAAATACTGGGGAACTGACATCTAGGTAAATGCATACACTTAAAAGTTGGGCTATGAATAATTAGAGGTCAAACTGATCACCATATTTGGGGTTGGGAAGAAATTTACCCCCAGGTCAGATTAGCAGGGGACCCGAAGGTGATTTTGCCTTCTATAGCATGGAGAGTGGCTCTCCTGCTAGGATCATGTGGTCATATCTCATATAATCAACTACAGCCATTGCAAGGGCCTTGGGCATTAGTGGCATCTCAGCCTCTCCTGTTCTCTGTCTAGGGCACACAACAGTCTAGTCTCCTGAGGACTGAAATGCTTTAGTCTCACCCAAGTTTTTGGGTGCAATATAGAGGTAACTGAGTGAGGTCAGATTATATGATCTAATGATCCTTTCTGGCTTTAAACTCTGAACTCTATGAAGAGCCAAATTAGCCAAACCCGGCTGGCAGCACAGGTACCAGGAGACTAGGAAATTGGAACTGGAGATTCAGGGGAAAAGTTTAAAAATAAAAAATAATCCCATCAGGTGAAGAGGACTAGCTGGGAAAGCTGTGGTTTATAGCTGGCTAGTGAGCTTTTTGTTGTGGGTTAGTGCTCTCATGTTATGTTGTAATTTATAGTAAACTTTGTCTAGGTTTGATTTTGATATTTTTTTAATCCCTTTCTCCATCTGAAGGAGAATGATAAACTGAACTTTTACCCTATTTAGACTGGCGCATTTTTTTTTTGTTAGAAAGTCAACCCACCCACTTGGTTTCTATAGCAGCTGCATGCCAAAAAGACAACTCATAATGCAAATACTTCTTGGGATGCCATCTCTAAATTCATACTATGGTTAGACCCAAGTCAAGAAGGTTGTGGTAACATGTGAACCAGGATTAGATTTAGGGTAGAATTCAAGGTTAAGGTCTAGTTGGGCCTTGGTATTTTGATTCAGCGGTTCTAAACATCATGGATTCAGAACTAAAATATCAGGAGTTCCATTAAAACAAGCTCAGTGTTGTCCAATCAGCTTACTAGCATGGTGAAAGCACTATGAAATCAGCAGTTTCTACTAGGACTTGGACACGTTTGAATAAGAACGAGAAAGTAAGATCTCATTTTCGAACAGATCCAAAGTCCATTCATTGGAAAGACTCCCATTGACTTCAGTGGGCTTTGGATCAATTAGTAACATTTAACTTTTCTTGTCCTTTATATTTTAAAAAAGCAGTTTGCAAAATTTCACAGAACTAATAGCATGTCAAAGCGCTCGTGTGAAATTTTTCAATGGAACAGTTTTGTCAAAATTGAAATGTTCCTCGGGAATGTGTCTATTTTGATGAAATTTGTTTGATGGAAAATAGTGATGTGAATTGTTTTGACTTTCTCATTTCAATAAGGTAAAAACATTTCATTTTGACTTTTTATAAAATCTTTCTCATGAGTTTCTGTATGTTTTCTATATTGAGGATGCAAAATATAACTAGCAATTACTAATGTGAGTAGAAGTGTCCTTCTTCCCAGTAATCAGCATTGGCAATTTTCAAAGTGAAGAACCAGATCATAAATTAGTTACTTTAACATCCCTCCTTACAACAGTTAATTCAGGGAGCTAGCCAAAAATAGTAGGAATTCTCACATTCTGTCATATTAACTTTATATCATGGTATAGAAGAAAAATCAATGTAGAAAACATTACTTTGTATAAATGGAGAACCTGACTGAGTTGGAAATGTAATGCCAAAGGCCCTGAAGTGCCGGGGGGGGGGGGGGGAATCTTTCATGTGTTAATTAGCTGGTGAAGAACCTTCTGTGCCATCTGTTAAAAATGCTGCTACTTCTTCATGTACATATGACATGGAAATGTTTTGGTTTCTTTAAGCCTCTGAATTCTGTGTACACAAGCAACCAAAGTTAGGCTAATGAAGGAAATATATTATTCATGGTTCTTGGGAGGCATGCAAACTATTTCATTGTGTTCTTATTAGCAGATTCTAGCACCATAGACTCAACTAAAATCTTTACACTTGCTGTTCTCAGAAGTTAAAGTTCTTGCAGTAAATGTGGTATTCTGCATCCTAAGCACAGGGGAATACTCCAGATGCCTTGCTAAAGGTTAAATGCCACTGCATGGTAAATGTCAAGATTTTAGGGGTGCCCATGATAGCTTCATGAAATATATGTTTATAGTAAAATCCTAAATTTCCTGGTAATACAAGCATTCAGCTGTGTACTAGGATTTACTCTCTAACTTGCCTCTCTGCTGGTACTGTTCTCACAAGAATGCCTTAGTATTTTAAAAAATAACTATGAAAAGAAATCACACTGGGTGTTATGTTCTTACTGGGATATGCAAATTGGCTGGCACTTTCAAGGAGCCCAAAGGAGATTGTGCTGACTCTTACTGGGAACTCAGTGTCCCCATCTTTTCAGATCTTCTGAAAATTAATGGGCACTACCGCCATTTAAACAGTTAGGGGCAGATCCTCAAACGGAGGTAGCTCTGTTGAAGTCAATAAAACTAAAATGATTATACCAGCTGATGCTCTAGCCCTTAGAGCTAGACAATGTGAAAACATAATGGGTATTTCTCACTTGGACCTCCGCATTCGGACTGAGCGCAATGGAAGTCCTTGGACTTGGTATTCAGAGACTGCGCAGATCCAGTACCAGAACTGGCTCTCACCTGTGCAAAGTGGAAATAGTAGTGCTATGGCCCCGTTCCTTGCAGTAGCCAGCAAGGAGGCAGAAGGGAACAGATGCTGTCCAGGAGGGCACAATTTTCCTCATTCTCTAGAATTTTGAGAGGCATTTTGTTGGCTTGAGTCACTGGTTGTAATTTTCTGTAATCACTGGTTGTGATTTTGGATGCCTTCATTTATTGGGCCCACTTTTTAGAACACATTTGATCTGATTTTTTTAGAAGAGCACCCACATGTCACATTGACAACAGTTGTAGTCATGGGTGTCTTTCACTTCTGAAAATCAGATGAACTGGTGAATAAAGTTGAGCTCACAAAAATAAAGGCCACTTTGGAAAAATCTAGGCCACAAACCCTCCCTCTGACTGGGCTTCTGTGATTCACTGATGCAGTGTAATCCTGCACTGTTTCTAATAGGGGGTTGTGGCTATGTTCCACCAGCCACCCCTTAACTTATAACTCTGTTTCCTTCTTAAATATAAGCACTGGGGACTAAATCCTGCAGGACTTATTGTCAGGAAAAGTACAGTAAGCAGGATTTCAATGTATGAGTACCAAAACTATACTGTGGGGGAAATGTTCACTATTTCCCCACATCTGTAATGTAATATAAATAGAGCCATTGAATTCAGTGAGGTTGAACAGTGCTGTCTTGGGATAGACTCTTCCCTTGTGTTACAAAGTAGATCTGATGTCAGTCTCGGGTTTTTTAAAGGATGGTTTACTTACTGTCCTCTAGAGGTATGAACCAGCAGGGTGATTAGCGTAGAAGTAGCTGGGCAGATACAGTTTAAAGCTAGCATAGCATATTTGAACTCCTCTTCACATACAACATGATCTGTATAAAAGAAGACATAACATAGGATCAGTGCTTTATAAATAGAAAGACTTTATTTTGGGCTGGACTGTCATTTTACAATATGCCCCAAACAAGGAGCAGAATTGAGTTGCTGTGCTCCAGGAATATCCTGAAAGCAAAGTAAACTGTCAGGCATATCCCTTGTGCAGCACATGTCATGTACTTGCGGGCAGCTAGCCTGTCCTGCCACTTGTCTTGCTGAGGCTAAACTTTATTTTTAGTGTACTAGATCAAATAGAGCAAGTGGAAGTATGTCTCCTTGAACTGGAAATTACATCCCGAGCTTGAAGTGTAGATATGCCATAGTGGGCTGCTGCAGTTAAACTGCCTGGCAACATGTGTGAAATATCACGCCAAAACTGGTAGATGAGATCTGGGGTAGAGGTAGATATTTTCTACCAAACTTGTAGTGAATTGGACAAGGGTTTCTCAAGTTACAACAAACTAAAACCAGAGCTCAAAAAGTCATACTGTGTTTGACACTCTGGAGTGAAGAAAGAAAAGAAGTGAGGAGGAGATTACAAGTAATTTACTGGATTGACCTATACTCCAAGACTGCAAACGCATGTGCACGTATTTAATGTTAAATATATGAGTTTTCCCATTTACTTTAGATTAGATGACAGGTGCTTAAAGTTAAGATCGTGGTTGAGTGCTTTCCAGAACTGGAGTTGCTGTGAAGAGAAAAGAATAAGGAGAGCACTCTGAGATGTCACTTTAACATTTCTACTTTAATAATGAGGGTCTAAGAAAGAATAAGTACTGAAGGCTATTGTGACTTAATTAAGCACTTTGTAGACTTAGAAGTTTGAAGAGGTTTTGAAAGATAAATACACAAGTAGGTTTTCAAAGCTCTCTCGAATATAGCACAATGTGGTAAAAGGAAAAAAATCTAAATTATTGCCCTTCTTCTTGCTCAGCAGCCATTAAAGTGCTTATCTCAAAACCTTGAAAGTGAAGAAAGCAAAGAGTATGTCTTTATACATGAACTGCACTCTCATTGCGGAACAGTTCTGTTTTCCTTGTGGTGTGTCTCATTAGACACAGCATCATAAGTTACAAAATTATTTCCTGATAGAAAGCAGAAACTAAAATATCTCTATTACTTATAAGATACTGTAAAAGGGTGAAAACTCTCAACTCAGTTACTTAGACACTGTCAATTGGACTCTTCTGAAACTGATAAATTTAAAATTATTACTGTTTCTGATAGCATAGCTTTTAAATAATGTGTCCTGATTTTAAAAACTTTAAAAATAAATAATATTCTATTCCCCTTTTGATATATATATATATATGCAAAGGAGACACTGACTAACAAAGGCCAGATTCTGCAGACATTTGGGCACACGGTTGACTTTATGCATGTGAATAATCCATTGAACTCAATGAGAGGACTCATATGTGGAAAGGTAAGCACATGCCTATGTTTTTGCAGAAATCAGAGCATGGCTGACTATGCAAGGAAAGAGTGAAACTGACAATACACTAAGTTCTGTCAAATGTAGAAAGAAACTGAAAGAAATTAAAATATTTGCCCAATAACTTCTTCCAGTCATAGAAATCTTGTGTGCTACTTGTAAGTATTGTAGATATAAAGCTTTCAGAAAGAAATGAGATTTTGTTTTTTCAAGTTGATCATGTGCTTTTAATGAACCTGAAAAAAACCTACCATTTGGATTCAGAACTAAAGATTTTGCTAAGAGCGTGCAGGGCGAGACCTGGTCTACAGTTCAGATAGGATATATTGAAGTTCATGAAAATGATTCAGTAACATAACAGAGGATTATGGAAAGGAATATTGACTTCCTGACACTGAGCACGTGAATACTAGCTCCTACATTTTCAGACTTGAATAGAACTTTGCTACACAACTTCTACTGACCTAAATGCTTTGTCAAGCTTCCTATTTATGAAGATGCTATTGCACAGCATCAAACATTTTTTAAAATAAAAAAACAAGAAAAAAAAACTATAGAATGTCCAATAATTTCATACTCTGTGCTTTGAAGCATGCATGGGGGCAAATGAGCATTGTGACCTGAAAATGAATAAAAGGAAATGATGATTAGTGGAATACAAATATAAAGTAAATAATATTCAATCTCAAAGTAGTGCTATATTCTTTAGCATATGTTTTTTATGGGGTGGATAAAAAGAGAGAGCTGGCAGTTTTTTGATAATGTTGCTTGTTCTAAAGTTTTTTGTAGGGAATATTCTCCTGTGGTTAAAGCAGGGGACGGGGAGTCATGACTCTCTAGACCATTTACAGCTCTGACACTGACTAACAGTGATCTTGGATAATCCAGTTAAGTTTTCTGTGCCTCTATGCATTAGTAAAATAGGGATGATAACCACCTACCTATTTCATAAGAGTGTTTTTGAAGTCTCACAAATTCTTATTTATAAAGTAATTTGAGAACATCAAATGAAAGATTATACATTAGCACCATTGTTCTCATTTATTGTTCATAATTTCTCATTTCCAAACTACATAATAAAACATCACTACTCCACTCCTCATCAATTCGATAAAATAAACTAAAATGTTCAGTAAAAACATGCACTTGCACAGAGCAACACTAAACTTTGGACTCCCGAATCTAGGGTCTGAATCTAATATATTCTGACATAAAGCAGAGCCTGAGTCTAAAACAATTCCACATGTAGTTAAGTGGAAGTAGTATTTGTTTTAAAGAGTCTAATGTGGACCCTTTTTGCCATTTGCAGTTCATTTATGGAAATGATGCATAGCATGGTGGGTCAGAGTGGACTAGCTCTGGAGGCCTCACTGCCCTGCCTCACCCTGTCCCAGAATAGAGCAGGGAGAAGTCCTCCAGGCAGCCTAGAGTGGCTACAGAGGAGCAGCCAATCAGAGGGGCTGCTGGAGTAACCACTAAGGGGCCAGATAGAATCATAGAATATCAGGGTTGGAAGAGACCTTAGGAGGTCATCTAGTCCAACCCCCTGCTCAAAGCAGGACCAACCCCAACTGAATCCCCAAATGGTCCCTTCAAGGATTGAACCTACAACCCTGGGTTTAGCAGGCTAATGCTCAAACCACTGAGCTATCCCTCCCCCCAAAGCAGATTTTTGCCCCAGCTCCCTCAATGACCCCCTCAAGAATTGAACTCATAACCTTGGGGTTAGCAGGCTAATGCTTAAACCACTGAGCTATTAAAGCAAGGAGCAGAGCCTTCAGTTCCTGTGTGGAGCTCGATGAGGGGGCACTGGGTGCCTGGCTGGCTAGATAAGCAGCAAGACCATCGAAAGATCAGTGCAGGCAGGCAGAGCATGGGGGACTGACCACAGAACATGACCAGACCAGATGAGGGTACCGAGATGGGCCGTGCTGGTCTGGTTGCAGACTGAGCCCTGGGAGGGCTGCTGAAGAGGATGCCAGCTGACGGTACTAAGATTGGCCCCAGACGGGTGGTTGAAAAAGGCAGCGCCTCTGGGAACAAACCTAAGAACTACGGCCCCATACCAGGGCTGTGATAAGAACCCAAAAAGGAGCGACAGTGTTTGCAGCTCTGCCAGAAGGCTGAGTTGCTGAAGACCCACCGAGAGAACCGTCGGCTGGGGGGTGCTTGAAAGAGATGGGTGGCACCGTGATGTAAGACCAAAACAACAAAATCAGGCTCACAACCAACAGAAGGGGGCTGCCCGCAAGAGGTAGGGGCTGCCCCTGGAAAAGAACTGTTTGCAGGCATATCCGCCAGAGAAAGGGGGGACTCGTGAGAGGTGGGTACCAATCCTGTTACACATGGTATAAAGATGGTTACACTAAAATACTTTCACCTGTTGTGGAGAAACATGGGAGCTGTTGTGGGAAGATTTAAAGTTTGTTTGAAAAATCTGCTGTCTTTAGTAGGAACGGCAGCATTATTTAGACTAACTTCCTTGTGCTCCTCCCTGTCCTCTTTCAGTTGAATCGGTGCTTCTTGCATTCCTCTCTTCAGATCCCCCTTTTCTGTACTAAACAATCTATGTTTTATTTATTATCAAAATAACTGTTGAATTATGCAAATGCTCTTTTCCCTGTAGCTGTTTGGAACATGAGTATATGGACTGTAATTTCAAGCTTGTCTTGGTATTGCACATGGATAGGGAGAAACTGGGTCTAATAATACATTCACCTTATTAGAGGGACAAACTATTTTTTTCTATGCTTCTGGGCTAGATTATGCCTGGCACATGACTCTCCTCCCTTGTGAGGTCTGTGCCAAGGGTTAGGCAGAATTGCAGGCTCTGTACTCTGGGAAGCACAGCACAGATACTGCAGCCTCCCAGAGTGGGCAGGGAGGAGGCCAGGCCCTGTCTCTCCTCACCCTCACGCAGTGGAGCTGCCTGGCCATGTGAGTTAGGGAGGAATAGCCTGGATGAGGAGCTGAGTCCAAATCTGAACTTCCATCCTGCAGGAAATCCTGATAGTTCAACTATTGTTTTCATCCTTAATTGGGATGGCAAATAGACATATAAGAAGAATTCATTGAATGAAACATTCAAAAAGGTTTTAAAAATTGAAACCTTTCATTTTGAGCCATTTCAACATAAAACTACAGTTCCCTATGGCGACACTTGGCTTCCTGGAAGTTGTAGTTCACATTCCTGATGCCTCCATTCTCCTCTATGGGCCAGGATCCCTAGCTGGACTACTACTGCCATGATGCACCTCCAGGTATGCCCCTGACACTCAGTCGGAGTGGAGACTGCATTGTTACAGGAGATGTAGTCCAGCCAAGCAGCCTGGCCCATAGGGAATGGGCATCAAGCATCCAGACTGTAATACCCATGAGGCAATGTGTCACCATAGAAAAATACAGTTTAATGTTTAACTCACTCAAAACAAAACATTTTATGTTGGTCCAATAAACCAACATATTTCCATTCAGTCAAACCAACCTGAAATGAAATCTCCTCTTTTGGCTTTTCTGGCAGAAAATGTAAACATTTTGGCAAAAAAAGAATTTTCCATTTTGCAAAATAATTTGATGTTTCAGAATTTTTCATTCCACATCAGACCAAAAATGAGACCATCTGAATCTTTTTTGAGAGAGAGACCCACTCCAGTGGTTAGGGCACTCACTTGCAAAGTGGGAGACCCAGCTTTGTTTTGCCTGATTCTGAGCAGGGACTTGACCCTGGGTCCCCAACATCCCAGGGTGAGTGCCAGGCTATGCAGTCTGTAGCCAGAATTATTTATACAAGCCAGAAGAGGTCCAAAAGGTGAGATTGATAAAGGGTTCCCACATCCCAGGTACGTTCCCCAACCACTAGCTTATTGGCTATTTTGGGCTCTCGCTCTGGCTTTGATCATAAATTCTATCCTGGACTAGATAAAACTTTTTGACAAATGATCATTTCCCAAATTGGACAAAAATGTCCCGACAAACTCTAGTGACAATCCATTGCTATGAGTTATACCAGCTCTAATGTTCTTAAAAGACAATAAGCACTAAGTATAAAGAATGATAATAAGCAATAAGTATAGAGAATGATAAAATGCTTCGTTAGGCTGTATCTCCGGTAACTGGAATGGTGATTACACATTTCTGAATAGGTAAGGAGATTCATGTACTACTAAAAAAGTGGATGCAAGTTAAACACAAAAGCAGAAATGTTCAATTTACTGCACCCCTGAGCCACAGGTATTAATGCTTTTCTGTCATGGATACATCTCACTTTCTTTTCAGATTTGAACTTAAATGCAGGATCAATTGGGTGCATTAAAGGTAGTGGCCTCATATAGCACAGTCTATGTCTGAGGGAGAAAGAAAAATGGATCTTCTAGTTTATTATTACTGTAGGAAGGGCAGGGATTCACTTGGGAAATTAACAAACAGTATTTCAGGAGGGGATACATAAAGGGTCAAGAACAATGAAATAGAAAACCTTTCAATTACTACATCTACATATTTTGTCCGGCCCATGGATGTTAAAAACTCTGTTACATATGCAGCTGTTAGATTCATTATAAGTATAGGGCCCTACAAATCCATATGCGTGGGCAGCCCCTTATACTGGGCAGGTCTCCTTTGACGTGTCACAGCCAAAATATGGAGAAGTATTCTACTTCTTTTGCCATCAATAATTAATAATCTAAGCAATAATGGAGAGTGATTTTTCAGTATTTTTTTTGAGTTTGCAAAGCAATTGAAGCAATAACTAATCCTCGGTTTGAAGTATTTTATATAGTACTTTGTTTTCTTTCCTAAAGGTCAGAAACTGATTTATGTAAGTTATGTATTCTATGCTCATATGTAAAATTGTTACTGAAGATTTCAGGCAGAGCAAAAATGCATAATATTGGTTCAGTAAACTTCCAAAAGAAAGGAGTCATCATTTAAAGGAAGAAATATGGTACAATATCAGGCCAGATCAAATTTGAAAGAAGGTTTTTGCAATGAGGTAATATTGGAACTGTCCTGTGTCAAGGTTAGAAAAGTGTGTAGGGGAAAAAGTTGAGTATATTCAGAAGGATAGTTTTTTTTCTAGAGAAGTTCTCTAGAACTGCCTGTGGCCCTATAGCCATACCCCCTCCTACTCATCTCTCAGAGCTAAGTAGGGTTGGTCTGGATTAGAGAGTAGAGGCCACTAAGGTATATGTAGGTGCCACAGGCAGTGTTTCTGCTGATTCCATAGCTGCCTCACTTCTTTGAATCACGCTGACCCAGGAGGGTGTTCCAGTGCGCTGCATTGCTGAAGTAGTTGTCCACTGGAATGAGACATAAAGCCAAGGGTCTGACCATTTGTTGTAAATAATGATCCCATGGTTGTGAGTGGTGATGTCAGGTTGGTGACCTGTACATTCAAAGTAATCTAATAATTATGTTGTGATTACACTACTGAGCTTAAATTCTCCTTGTAGAATGACACTGTATTCTGTATTTCTAAACTGTCGTGCAATGTGGCCATGTAGAATTAGAGTTGCTGTGTTTCACACAAGAGATGGGCATGTGTTGTTAATGGATAAAGTGATCCCTGTGCATAATTCATAAATGTTCCTGAGATAAAAGGCACTGCATAAATTTAAAAACATATAGCACTGCTTTCCGTATGGTAAATATTGGAGATAGGCTTAAGTGGTTCAGAAAAGATTGGCTCCTTCTGCCCAGTGCAGGGCCTACAAAAACTTCTTGCATGCAGACACTAGCAGCACAACAGGCATTTGGGTTCTGAGATGATTGTATGGTCCAACTTATCGGTATAGGGTTTAGCCTAAATAGGAGTTGTGAAGTCTCTGAAGTGTCTCTGTTCTGCAAGCTCACCCTTTTGGGTCATTAGTCATAAGTTGCTATGTACACAGCACATATGGAAAAGTAGACGTATCCTAGAGAAAATACCATCAGAAACAAGTTGCACAATTGAAGTTACAATGTAAAAAAAGAATAGATGATAATCCCATTGTTTACTTGTAATCATGAGTAAGCCTTATTACCTGTGTTATAGTCTCATAGTTATAGATTAATCTTATATATATTTTTAGTCGTGGAGTGTTGTTTATGACTTTCCCTTCTTTCCAGTATAGAGCAAAATTCAGGAACTTTTTTTGTTAACAGAACTTAGTGCCCTTAAATGGTTTTTTTTATTGTTGTTTTTTTTCTGCATCTAGAGTTGTGTATTTGGTGCAATTTGTTTTTTCATCAGATTTCTAGAATGATGATATAGAATAATTTTCTCCCATAGTGCTTTTGTGCATTTTGCATGAAACAGCAGTCTTTTCAGATCTCAAAATACTGATATTTTCTTAAAGGAAATTGAACTTTCATGTCACCATGGAGAGGGAAGGGAGAGCTTTATTTTTGCTTTAAATTTACACACAAAGTTTTGCAACATAGGCAAGTGTTTTTACCTGCACCAGAAGGGAACTGTCAACATGATAAAGGTGTCTATATATACTGCTAGAGAAGCCATTTACAATGCATATATATATATATATCCCTCTGTAAATGGTTTTGTTTGCTCTCTCTCTCTCTCTCTCTCTCTCTCTATATATATATACACATACACATACATACT